CTGCGGCTGGTGGGACAGATGGCACAGCTTGGCAGGGCCCACCCGCCCCAGATGGCAGTGCAGCTATGTGGCCACCTGCGCTCTTATTGCCTAGACAGCTTACTTGGCAGACTGGAGAGAGAAGAGTGCGTGGAGGGAGTGGAGGCTGGAGAGCCAAGGACAGGACATGAGGCCCGACTGGCTGCACCTGGGGGCCGCAGGCAGCTGCTGCAGCCTCAGTGGCCTCGAGCAGCCACCCAAACCTCTCCTGGGGCCCCTTCTCAGAACTTTTCAAGGGAGAGAAGCTGTTGCAATAGCGTAGCAGGTGTCAGTTCCCACCTCCCACTGTACCTCGATTGCCTCAACAACTTGGTCCAGCCACCCATCATGCTAGCCATGCGCTGGGCCTCTCCCAGGCAAGGTGGAGCCCATCACCTCTTCTAGTTCAGATGCCGCTTCACTTGGACATCTTGTGGCCTTCAGACACCTAGAGAATTAGTCACCCATCCACGCTCCTTGAATAATGGAGAAAGCAAAGGAAAATGTGGGTGATGTGTGTCAATTACAGATGATGCCATGGGTTAATATACAGAATATATTTAAGGCAATGAATAAAGCGTGGTACTCAGTATTTGTGATTCAACACAAAGCCCCATTGCTCCTTGAAGGTCAGGGCCAGTCCCTGGCTGTTGTCGGGCTCCTCCCAGGGGCACATGCAGGCTCCTTACTCAGCAGAGCCCAAAGCTGGGGAGATGGAAAGCTCAGCTTGTGAGTGCATCATTGGAATGGCAGCAAGAGTGGCCAACCTGCCTGCCCTTTGTACTCCTGGACCACTATGCCATCCACTGGTCCCTGGTGCCAGCCCTGTTCCACGGGGCCAGTCAGCACTGTCTGTCCCATGTCTTTGCTCAGCCTGGCTAGTCTGACGTTGCTGGGCTTGCACCCCATCATGACCCAGGCATTCTCCTCATGCACTCCTAAGGGGGCTGCTGCCACTGCCCTGTTCAACTGTAAAGGCTGAAGTAGCTGGCAGAGGAGCAGGACCCAAGCCCAGGTTGTACCCAGTCTGTATGGCTGATCCCTGCACACACCACCTCTAGTGGCACTTCCAGTGCCCTCTCCTCGGGGCAGGCCTGGCAGACCCCTGACCTGCTGATCTGGCTCTAAATGAGGGTGCAAGGGCCACAGCATCCTTACCAGGTGGAAGGACATCTATGGGTTGCATCAGACACATTTTATCTCAGCAGCTCTGTTCTGGAAAACCATCCACCTGTGGCTCCCACCAGAGGCCAGTTCTGCCTAGGACCTGACCCAAGGTCAACACAGCCTGGCTCAGAACCCTCCTTCCTTCTGAAGTTTCCGCTGTCCTCCCACCACACTGGAGTCCTGCCCATCTCAGGACCCACCTTTTGGTATTGAGACTACAGCCCCACTTCATACCCTCGGCAGCAGCACAAGTGAATGGGGGTGCCCTGTCCATGTATTAGAAAGCTGGGGTGCAGGTGGCTGTCAGAGCTGCTTCTCCATCCCATCAACAAAAAGCCTGGAGTGAAAATTCTTTGTGGAGAAACCTAGGAGTAGCAATAGGGCAGAGCTGACTCCTGCCTCCAGGGGACGCAGAACAGAACGCAGCCTGCCAGGCAGGAGGTGTTAGTGCTGAGGACACCTTTGGGATTTGCAAATTGCCTCGCCCTGGGGGCTTCTGAAGCCTCGAAGGTGTCCTGGTGGGTTGATTCCATAGTGCAGAATGGTTTTGTGCTATCTGCAAACGTTGTGTTAACGCCTGCGCAGGCACTGCCTTTGACGCTGTGGGGAGAAGTGGAGTAGGCCCTTGACCAGCTGCAACCCTGCTCCTGCAGGACTGGCTGCAGGGAGGTGCCCAGGAACAACAGCTGAGACCCCCACACACCTCTGTCCCTGAATCCAACTGGGGAGCCAGGTGACAGGACCCCACACTCCATGGCAGGAAGGGCCTACTGACCACAGGTCGCTGACCACCTGTGGCAGCATCTGGGATCCCAGCCCAGTTCTCTTCCCTCCTGAGTCCCGGATATGGACAGCCCTCCCCAGTAAATGCGTAAACCTCGGTCGAGGTTCCTAGCATCTGGAGTGGGGACTCCAGGGGAGGTCGTGTCCCCCAACTAAGAAGGTAGGTGCAGATATGCAGTGATGCTCACAGCCTGTTCATCCCCTGCTCCCTCCTCACACCGGAAAGAGGGCAGGACCACACAGGTTACAGATGAGGAGACTGAGTCCAGATAGCTGAGCACTACCCAGGGTCAACACGGGAGTCGCTCCAGCTGCCAAAGCTCCTTCTTCTGCTGTGCCAATAGCAGGACCTCATTCCATGGTGTGGGCTGACACATTAGGCAGGCCTTGCCAGGTGCGAGACCCTGCTGCCCTGCAGCAAACAGCCCCGAGGCTAGCCTGGCCAGCCAGACAGAATGAGGCTTCTGGACAATGTCCCCAGCCCTTTCTGCAGCACGGCCCAGCAGAACTTCCTATGATGGGCGTTTCCTGCCTCCTCCATCCATTAGCGACTCCCACACTTAAGGGAACAAGTAGGCTCAAAATACGCGGGTGCAACTGGCAGCTAATCTGCCACTTCACTGAAAGCTAAATGGGTCACACACAGGGGGCTGCGGAGTTCTCCAGCCCCATCACACCATATAGCCGGTCAGGCCAACTCCCGTGGCCCGTCCCGGACCCGAGAAAATCATTCCTGGAGCCTGAGGCCCGGAACAGAGGGGCGCGGCTGGACTCCCTACGCCACACTCCTGGGTCGCCCGCACAGCAGCAGCCTGGAGGGAGCGGCGATCCCACCTTCTGGTCTCCCCGGAGCCGGCCAGGTCGGAGGAAGTGCGGAGCGCAGGGCTGGAGAAGACGCGAGCCAACACTGCAGCTTCGCGAGAGGCGACCGTGATCACAGCACCCAGTCAGCTCACAGCCTCGCAGCCCCACACACACACACACCCCTCCGTCCTCCCTACGGGGACCCGGGCCCTTGCCCCGCTCACAGCACCCTGATCACAGCGCTATTCAGAGCTTTCGCGCATGGCCCCAATCCCCGCCCGCAGCGCCCCCAATCACAGCGCCCCAGCTCAGAGCGTCCCGGCCCGGATCCTCCCCGCGGCGCATAGGCTCTGGTCGCGAGCACAGCACCTCGGCGCCACCCCTCCGTCCTCCCTACGGGGACCCGGGCCCTTGCCCCGCTCACAGCACCCTGATCACAGCGCTATTCAGAGCTTTCGCGCATGGCCCCAATCCCCGCCCGCAGCGCCCCCAATCACAGCGCCCCAGCTCAGAGCGTCCCGGCCCGGATCCTCCCCGCGGCGCATAGGCTCTGGTCGCGAGCACAGCACCTCGGCGCCCC